CCTCGCAATCTGTCCTTCCTTGCAGGATATCGGCCACGGTTAGGGCTCTGCTTGTGTCTCTTCTAGTTCGGAGAAGTTCTAGGTCAATAAGTTGACAACGGCTTGCGTAAGTGGGTAATCGAAACGGATCATTCCAAGGCAATCTACGCAACGCAAAACGAAGAAAGCGACGTTGAACAGATTCAATTATCTCAGCACCGTTGTTGTAGTTTGGGTTCCAAACCACTGAACAATACTCAAGCGTCGATCGAACAAGCGAACAATAGAGAGATTTTAGACAGTAGATATCAGTGAAGTTTTTAGCTATCCTAAAAATGAACCCTAAAGTTCTTGACGCGTTATCAACAACATATGCAATGTGTTGCTTGAATGAAAGCTGCGAATCCAAGATCACACCCAAGTCTTCCACCTGATTCACGCAGCCAAGCAGGTTATAGCTAAATATTATCGGTTGTTGTTTTCGTGAGAACGTAATAGCGGAGCATTTGGCTGGGTTCACTACCATTCTGTTTAACCTGCACTAACTAGCGAATATATTCAGTTGACGTCGAAGAAAGTGACAGTCAGCAATGGAGCAGATTCGTAGGAAGATTTTGAGGTTATCTGCATATGATAACCGAGGAGCTTCGATGACCAGATGCACGTCGTTGAAGTACAGTATAAAAATTAACGGTCCCATGTGGCTTCCCTGAGGTATACCTGATGTGACGAAGAAGCTAGCTGATCTGCAATCTCCTATGGCAACCTTTAGTTGCCGACCGGTAAGATATGATCGAAACCAACTCAGTAGATTACCGCATACACCGAGCTTACCGAGTTTAGCAATCGCAATATCATGGTTCAACTTGTCGAATGCTGCGGATAGGTCTGAATAAATAACGTCCGTTTGAACCCGATCCGACATGCTTTCGGTTATATACGATGTGAGACAGCAGATTGGTGGTTGTAGAGCGGCCGACAGTAAACCCATGTTGATCAGCACTCCATTACTGCTTGCAATGGGACAGCAACGGTTCCATAATCACTAGCTCGAAACGGCACTTAACGATGTAATTCCTCGATAGTTATCCACAGCTCGTTTCCTTCCTTTTTTTGTGAACGGGAAACATGTGCGCAAATTTCCAGCAAGATGGAAATATGCCACTGGAGAGAGACATTCGAAACAGACGAAGAAGCGGAATTAGCAAGCTAGCAATATGTCTCTTCGAAAATACAGATGGAACTCCATCAGGTCCAGGATTGAAGGATGACTTGAACAGAGTCGTGGCCTTAGAAATCATCTCTGCATTAACATCAATTGCACCCAGCGTTTGATCATTTACTGGAACGTTCCTGGCAGCCAGGTTAATATGGTCGTCAGTTAGTATCTCATTAGTGAATACACTGGCAAACTTTTCGGAAAAAAGGTGGCATATATCCTGAACGGTGGCAGCAACTTCTCCGTTGAATTCCATAGACGATGAGAGGCCGGATTCCCTGCGTTGCTCGTTCACGTAGTTCCAAAAGGATTACGGGTGTAGCTTAAGTTTGCGCTGGATGCCTCATTGGAAACTTGAAAAGCATTCACGACTGACTCACTGGTACATGTGATTCAGCCTCTCATAATGTAGTTCCAGAGGAAGCGTGCGATACTTCGTAAATCTTCTCAATGCTGCTCTCTTGATTGACTTCAACCTACATAGCTCTCTCGTCTGCCAGGGAGGGTGAGACACTTTGTGGTGAGTTCTTTTCGGGACGTGTCTGTCAATGACATATGCCAAGACATGTGAAAAGGTTTGCGCTGCAGCCTCAACGTCATCTGGATCAAGGATGTTCTCCCATACCATGCTAGACAATACATCTATGATGCTACGGTGGTCAGCTTTACGGAAGTCATAAGAAACCGTAGCAGGATAGTCGTCGAAATCACGCACGAGTTTGTCCTCAACAGTGACAATTAGAAGAGGGTGATGTGGAACTAGCTTAGTTAGTGCACAAGGAGCCGAGAAAATTGATGGAGCCCTGCCCTGTGTGCTCACGAAGCAGAGGTCCAAACTACGACCATTTTCGTTGACTACATGGTTAATTTGAGAAAGCGTCAAAGTTAGACATCATAGAGCCTCTGCTATCTCATTGCAGGCACTTTCTAAGCGAAGATCAACATGGTTTCACCTCCGGTCGATCTACTACCACGAATCTACTGTGTCTTACATTGTACATCACGCAAAGTATTGTTGAAAGGTTACACATAGCCGTCATCTACATTGACTTGTCTACTGCCTTCGATAAGATAAATCACGCCACTGCGATCGCCAAATTGTATATAGACTCGGGGTTAGCGGAAATCTTGAGATCGTTTCGCTCGTTTCGCTCATGTCTCGCCGATTGTCAGTTGGTGGTAACCTACACACTAAGATTATTTCACAGATTGTTGTGAAATTTTACCGAAATCTCAACAGCTGAACGTTTGGTAAACAGTTCTTTGATTATTCACAGTTTTCCTGTAATTTTTCACAGATATGTCGTGAAAAATTACAGGAAAACTGCCTGATAGTTTTTTCAACTACGTCTGGAATACCTTAAGGAAGTAATCTGGGACCGTTGATCTTCTTACTTTACTTCAATGACGTGCATTTAGGTATCGAAGGTCCACGACTATCGTATGCAGACGATCTCAAAATCTACTCACGGATCTGCTCGATCGATGATTGTCAATTCCTCCAACGTCAGTTTGAAGCATTTGAAACGAATGACGATGAGTCCTGCGAAGTGTTTAGTCATCACCTTTACCCGAAAGAAAGAACCAGTTATTTTCCACTATGCTCTCCGGGACACCATTATTGAACGTGTGATCCTAGGTGTGAGCCACGTAAAAGATCTAGGTCTCAACCAACACATAGCAACACATCTCGTATGTCGTAGACAAGTCATCGAGGACATTGAGCTTTATCTTCAGAACAACTAAGAATTTCGCCGACATCCATTGCCTCATGTCATGTATATCCCTGACAGAGCGTAAAATTGTTGACTGCTCAGACTGAGTGTGAAAGCACTGCTCGGTTCAATTAATCATGTTTTGTTGTTTTTGACATCATCCACATCCAGAGGGCCAGTCACTTTCGAATGCATGGGAATGGTAGGAAACCATTTGGAAATGCATGAAAATTTTCAGTTTTTATTCATTATCATCTTTATGGGCAGTTTTAGATGCACAAAAATTGCACGAGTATATTACTATGGTGATAAGGTAAACACTCGTTTATTTGTTTCCTTCTGTGAAAGCATGTTTAGTCACAAATCGTGGATTTTCTTATATTCTCCATACTGCAAAAATAATTTTCCTACCACTGAAGGGGCGACATCTCTTGGATCTTCAGTATAGCTACTACTGAAATCATATAATTAATTAATTGCTCTATCCTGACCATATGTACCAAATGAGAAAGGACGAGGCAATGAAAGAGCCAACAAAAACATTCAGTCAGTCACGAACAGGCGACTCAAACCGCTTGTCTTCGCTCACACAGCATGCAATTGATGCATTTTTCCATAGAAAATATACGCTCAGTCATACAAAACAAGGGTTGGAAATCATAACGGAAGAATAAACGTGCTGACTGAGTGCTCGTCTGTCAGTGACTCGTTTACTTCCCAATCATTCAGACTCCCGCGAATCAGTGAATTATGCGGCGGATGGTTGTTCATATTCATATGAAAATGACTAATTGAGCCTGACCTCTATAGCCTGACTGCTTTGCGCACTGCTCCCTGGTACGTTCCATTATAGAATATTGTTCTGTGGTTTGGAGTCCGAACTACAACAGTAGTAACAACAATCAATACGAAACTAACGATTTTAAATTGGCTCACTACTTGACTAGCCTATTTGTCCCAAGCAAATCGATTAACGTACCCCATTCTAGTCAAAATTCTAGTACTACACAATGTTTGTTTTGATTCGCTATGAAAGTTTGACAGATAAAATGAGGAGTTAGTTGATTTTCCTATGTTTCGAGGGGTGAATCGATTAGCTTGGGACCGAAGATAGTACCAGAGCTGAGCCAAAAAGTTGAGCACGTTTCTTCTGGACCTACTAGCATAGAGGTAACTCTAAGACTAGGAGGTCCCGAAATAACGTGCTCAACTTTTTGGCTCAGCTCTGGTACTCTCTTCGGTCCCAAGCTAATCGATTCACCCCTCGAAACATATGAAAAACCAATAACCCCTCATTTTATCTGTCAAACTTTCATAGCGAATCAAAACAAACAGTGCGTAGTACTAGAATTTGGGGTACGTTAATCGTTTGCTTGGGACCAATAGGCTAGTCAAGTAGTGAGCCAATTTAAAATCGTTAGTTTCGTATTGATTGTTGCTACTAGTATTAGAGTTACCTCTATGGTAGTAATGAGAGAGTCGATTCCGTTCAACGCCGCTTTATGCGATACGCTTTGAGAATGTTACCATGGAGAGATCCGTTTCATTTGTCCAGCTATGAAAGTCGCTGCAAGCTGATTGACTTGGAGCCTCTTCGCACCAGAAGAGATGCTTCAAAAGCCCTGCTTGTCGCGGACGCGTTACATGACAGAATTGATTGCACCGCGATTAAGATCCAACCCCGAATGCTTCGTAACAATATAAATTCAAGAATGAATATCTCCATACTGCTAAATTGAATCGTGATGCAGTCTCCAGTAATGTTTTTCCTTATATTTTAAGTTACATGTGCTGGAACTCTGAGCTTAATGGAATGTTACTTCTCCATACATTGCAACCAAAATCCCCATATAAACTTTAAACCAAAAGCGCCAGCTTGTGTTACATCCGAATGAGCTGAATATTCAGAGAGGTTTTCTCACCTAATAGCACAAATCTGGAGGTTGGAACGTTGAAAAAAGCTTATGGGCCAGTATACTGCACATCTATCATGTATTAATGTGGGTTTCTAAGTGATGCGTTAATTACAACAACAAATACAAAGATTCCTTATGTTAACTAAATGAATTTCTTCTATTAATTTTCAGACTCCAGGAAGACCCACCGACTGGCGTTTCTGGAGCTCCAACGGATAACAACATTATGATATGGAATGCTGTGATTTTCGGCCCTCACGACACACCGTTCGAAGATGGCACATTCAAACTGACGATAGAGTTCACCGAGGAATATCCCAACAAGCCTCCGACAGTCCGCTTTGTATCAAAGATGTTTCACCCGAATGTGTATGCCGATGGAGGCATTTGTCTGGACATTCTGCAAAATAGATGGAGTCCTACGTATGACGTTTCAGCTATACTAACTTCCATACAGGTAAAACTTCCTCTCAAAAAGTCACAGTGAAACATGTTTTTGAACGTCTTGTTTTTTGTTCATTGCAGTCACTACTTAGTGATCCTAATCCAAACTCACCTGCAAATTCGATGGCGGCACAACTATACAAGGAGAACCGCAGAGAATACGAAAAGCGAGTAAAAGCATGTGTCGAGCAGAGTTTTATCGACTAGCCCCTTTCCCCCGAAGAATGGCACATCCTTCGATGTAAGAACCCTCGTGCAGGAAATCTTCATTACGACCCAGACTTCTATTCACTTTCCCATCGCTGTTCCCTGATGTCTTTCCCGTTCAGTTAAAATTTGGACAGCCGAATTCGTTCTACAAATCTGTGAATGATTTTCCAATATTTTATCTACAAACTTCTCTGCGAGTAGAAGCTAATAGTAGCAGATAGCATCAAATCAAGCAAATCTATCAGAACTCGTAATGCCAGCCACAAGAGATAACTAACCACAAGTACTAATAAAGGAAAATATTAAAATCATACAGTTATGAGCAAAACTAAGCTGTAAAAACTTTTATTTGGCATTGTTCCCTTTCGACAGATGTTAAAAACGAACAGAAAAAAAAAGTAATCCATACATAAATGTACCGACCTAAATGGTGTTTAATATTGATAAATCTACAATGATATGTATGACCACACACTCACTCACACACACAAGATAACTACTGCAAAAAATATATAAAATATTATCAAGAATAAAAGTGATCATAAGTAAATGGCAAAGGTGACCTACGTTTAGCAACAAAAACAACAACAAAAACACCTAACTGAAGTGAAATGTGAAATAAAAGGATGCAAGTCTTATTTAAACCATGCAAGTTTAATTTAAACGTAAACTTATTGTACTGGAAAAATTCAAGAAAAAAAATAGTAAAATAAAGCATAAAAAATGTATTCAAACGGTTTTTACTGCCACTTTCGCTGAGGTGCACTGGAAGATCGAAGAGTGCTGTGCTTGTAGATGGAAGCGAACAATTTTCTTCCCGTCAAATTTTTGTATTTTGCGTTGTTCCGGATTTTTTTTTAACAGAAAAGTGATATTAGTGACGGATACTTGAATTTCCTGAATCGAGTTCCACAGTGTGCGGGCATTCCGTGCAAGCTCTACCACAAACCGGATGACCCCGTGAAGCGAACCGTCTACAATTGCGACTTCCCCTCTAACACATCAGGCCAGCTTGTTGGGTTCACTTGGCTAGATTTGGTGAGTTCGTTCCATCTTTTTTTTTTCATTTTGTTTATTTGGCAGGCTCAAATGTTATAAAAATAACTCAGCGGAGCCGAGTAACATGGAATACCAATTTTGGCACTCAAAATACAAAAAAAAAGATATAACAATGCATTTTATCATAGGATTTTTCTGGGTGGCGATCGAAGCGGCGACAAAACGATCTTCTCCCGTGCACGCAACTTCTTTCTTTCCCGAATTTGTTCCTCATTTTCATTGAACCCGAATCGTGATCGCTGCTGCTGTTTCTGAACGTCGTTTCCCGTTGCATGCTCTCCGCTACTCTCGTCGGTCGTCGGGGTCGCCGCGTCCATTTCGTTATTTTCATCCAACATCTCCGTTTCCTGGTCGCTAATGACTAGGGACGCACCTTCCACCACTACACCAGCATACGTACTGCTGCTGTTGTGTTTTATTTCACTTTGCTGCTTTCCTTTTTCCTTAAGTTGCTTCTCCGGTTCCTTCCGAGCCTTCCGCTTGGGGCAGGAAAACTTCCGTGTCCATCCGCCTTGCACAGAAAACATTTATCTTTGTTGCCATCATAAAATATATTTCCTTTGCGATTGAAGAAATTTAATGACGTGGGGATTACCTTCTTCACATCCATATATATACCAACAATCAATACGAAACTAACGATTTTAAATTGGCTCACCACTTTAGTAGCCTATTGGTCCCAAGCAAACGATTAACGTTCCCTATTCTAGTTGAAATTCTATTACTACACTATGTTTGTTTTGATTTGCTATGAAAGTTTGACAGATAACATCAGGGGTGTGTGGATTCATGCAGAACATGCAGGGGTGAGTGAAATAGCTTGGGACTGCTTGGGACCGTTGTTCTGGTACTGAGTGAGCCAAAAATAATAATGATTTTCTTCGGGACCCAGTGGTCTTAGAGTTACCTCTTTGTATATACCGCGTATCCCTGTATATACTTCAAAACACAGATCAGTTGGAAATTCTCCCGGATGATGCGTTTAATTTTTCCATATTTCCACAGCACTTTATCCAGCTCGTTGTCGGGTACATCTGGTGGCAAGTCATACACACGCACATATTGGATGAATTCACCAGCATGCGACATGCGTACCATTGCCGTCGTTCCATTCGCATAATGGAAGATTAAATCTTCCTAATTGAATGTCAGAGCATTGAGTATCGCTTCCTCTGATTTGAACTTCATGAAGACTCCCCTTTCATCACCAATGCGATAAACAGCTTCCATTTCAGCCGGTTTCGCGTCGAGTGCTTTGGCGAAATTTACAATCTCTCCGATTCTTGGTTTAGCATCACAATGGCTGAAGCTAAACTTGATGGTGTTTTTACTTCACACATCTTGCACCGTAGCAACAAAAGGCACCGAACTGCTTGGTGATGCTATTGCAAATTACTTTTTCTGAAGACTGTCACGATGTTCACATAAAACTAGATGATGATTCATTCCATCTTGTCCTTTATAATATCTTCATACTTAATTTCCGAGCACTAGTACCACAAACGAAGTGACAGACGGAGCGGCTCGAAAACTTTGGTGACTAACCTGCTATTGCAATTTTTCAGTGTACCACATGGCAACACCACCAACCGGTGAACACTCGTGTTTATTTCAGTTACCATGGAGACGTAATTTGTGATTAGTCCCGGTCCCTTTCAAATTGTATCATTATTTATGAACGGCCTTTTATTTGAAATGACGTTTCACATTCATCTAGTGATGTCCGATTTTCATTCGAATAATCGTTTAATCGATTAACGAACCGAAAAGTAAACTATTTATAATCGGTTAGATCATGACGATATAAGCATTAACATCTCCACAGGATCATCACCGATCGTTTCAAACATGTGCTGCACTCTCATTCGTGGAAAAATTGCAGCACAGCGAACAAAAAATAATCGATTAGTTGTTAATCGAGTAATTAAAAAATGGGACATCTCTGATTTTGGTTTGATTGTTTTGATAAAAATGAGCGCAAAATTTCATCTCTTCCGAGGGGGCAGCAAAACCACAAAATTACCTTGAATACGGGGGGTTCTCATTGGATGAAAGGGACCGTGAAAGAAGACACTAAAATAGAAAGTTTTTCTTCCGACAGTTTCATCTTAGTATTCATCTTTGACACCACTACTACTGGATTGTACCACATGGCAACACTACTACTAGATTGAACTAGCATTTTCACCAAATGTACTAGAATGTTTTGGTTCTATCTCTTTCACTCTACTCAAAACTGAAATGCATAAAAAAATGACAAAATGATACTCTCTTTGCACACTGTCAAAGAATCATTGTACACAAAATCAACTTAGTGCAAAACCGAAACAAAAATAGTATCCCATCTGGTGGATGATGGCACAAGCTTCTAAGAAAATTCTATTACAGCGAACCACATTATTTTAATTGATTTCTTCGCCAGTTAGTCGTCTGTCACTTCGTTTGTGGTTATGCGTTTATGGGTAGTGCATTAGTACTGAGCTGTGTTTGAGTCACCCATATTTTCGTTTTCGTTCGAACCGTATTACGTACCGGTGGAAACTAACGATTTTAAATTGGCTCACTACTTGACTAGCCTATTGGTCCCAAGTACATCGATTAACGTACCACATGCTAGTCGCAATTCTAGTACTACACTATGTTTGTTTTGATTCGCTATGAAAGTTTGACAGATAAAATGAGGGATTCGTGGATTTTCCTATGTTTCGAGGGGTGCATCGATTTGCTTGGGACCGAAGAGAGTACCAGCATGTACCAGAGCTGAGCCAAAAAGTTGAACACGTTTCTTCGGAACCTTCTGGTCTTAGAGTTACCTTTATGGTATAAATGACAGTTCGTTTGGCTACATTCTACTTTGCCTCGGCTTACCTATGGAATCTATAGTATCTATACTTTAAACTTAATCTTAAAGTACAACAATAGAACCAGCGGATCAGTAAAGTGTAATATAGTGAATGCAATGCTTGTTTTCTTGACTGCATATCTTATAATATTCTAGAGATTTTGAGCTAATGTTACATTTCCATTATTATCTTAGACATGTAATTGAATTTTGATACGGTTTTCATGGAGATGCATATAAGAAGTATTTTCAACAAGTTTGTAAAAGAAAATTAGATTGAGTTAATAGGTATTATGCCCAAACGAACGGTGGCGCATCTCGTCCCGTATGGTCTTCTTGCCCCCATCCCCGCTACAGCCGTAAACTGACTCAACACTCATATAGGAGCAATTACGTTTATATAAGGTCTGGGCCAAAGGGCTTGTGTTAGTGAAATGTGCAAATGTTTAGTGGTGTTCGTATTTTATTGCAATGTTTATCTTTTTACACGAAACAGCTGTTGGCAGTGACGTATTTCTATCTGTTCTCAGTATGTTGGCAGTGACGTATTTCTATCTGTTCGGAGATGTTCAGCAATGTTTACAACATTTTTGCTTCTAACACCAGCAAGCTGCCTGTTGGCCCAGACCTTATATAAATGTCATTGATATAGGAGGAGTGTAGGAATGGGATGAGTACTATGAATCACCCCTCAAAGTTTTTTTTTCCTTGATTTGTTTTCCGTCGATCTTGTTTTCCGTGCTGAGCACCAATGCTACCGACGCCAGAGAGGCAGCTCCCACATCTGGACCCTACCTATCGACCCATCAACTCATGAACCGGGGACCAACGGCTTTACTTCCCTTCCGAAGGAAGGCGTGATCAGAGATGTTATGCCTCAGAACATCCCGGCGGCACCGACTGGGATTGAACCCAGGCCTCGATAAAGAGACAAAGTGAGAAGTGTTCATTTAATATGTTTGCCAACACTGTTTTCTATTTCCTGTTTGATTTTTAAAGTGAACTCAATACGAATCGAACGTGTTTTCTGTTCCGCCAGTCTCTTCTGTAGTGGTTCCTTTTCTTCTGCTTCGGTCGCATTCTGCTTGTCTCTGCTGTCCTGTTGGTCCATCAGAGACCTGGCCAATACTTCGAGAGGACCTGGAAGCGCTATCTTTGGCGTGGTAGGCATACATGTTCGTAACAATTGCGAAATTGTGAGAACCATTGAAAATAAGGCTTTCTTGACAATCTTAGTCGGACTAAAAGTTTTGGATAATTTGCCGGTTGAGGATCCCTTTATAAGGAATTGGTATGGGTGGACTTGGTATATTTCACACAGAAAAAAAGTATTTATTTAAAAAATGCAATCCGTAATTTATTCAACACCAATTTTTTTTTCAGCATGCATTAATCGATTAAGTTACCTTAAATGATGTTTAAATCGTTTTGCCTATATCTACTTGCCAAACGGTTTTTTTTTCTGCAGATTTCTTATTACCGAGAAGCATGTCCATTCAATGGGTATCTATATTTGTTTATGTTGCAGCTTGTCGTGCAAGTATTCTATTCTATAAAATAAGACGCGAATCTACGTATTTTGCACAACAGAAACTGAAAAGTACATTCGGTAGACAATTCAAGATATTCTTCTCGTGTTACAACGTATGTCTGAAATTATTCATTATGTTTAGGATAGAATGAAGGTCTCATCGACAGGAGACAATCAACGCAATAGTTATTCAACTATTTCAGTGATGTCTGAAAACGTGACGCGTCGTGAAGCATTGAACGGATCTGCTCCGCTTCCATTTAATAAATTTTCTGCATTGTTCGTAGAGCAAACATCGCTGTACTGTACGCCGCCTTCTAATGATCTGGACGAATCACTATCAACCGGTATTGGACTTGCATCTCTGTTGGTATTTATCTCTGCTTCTGGCTGAACGTTGGTTTCCAGTCCATGGCTACGATCGTTTACCACATCCTCTTGCGCTGGTTCATTTTGTTGGGAATTATCGTTAGTATCGGGTGACGGTTGACACCTCTCAGTCTCGTCAGCGACGCGATCCGTTATTTCTTCCGGTTCCTGTTCTGCGTTCTCAGAAGATTCAACAGAAACGTTGACCTCAGCAGTCGAATGATCATCAGGTAGTATCGAAACCTCGGTGTCATCCGGTAGAATCGAAACCTCTGCTTCGGATTCATCGGGAAGAATGGAGATTTCGTCAAAATTTGCTCCGTTTCTCGCTGCATTTTCAACGTGGTCAGCGCTTCGCAAATGGTCGGTGAGTTGAGAGGCTTTCAGATATTCTTTCTTACATACGTCGCAGTTGAATACACGATTATTTTTGCGGTTCTGAAACAATTCAAGTTATAAAAAATCACGGATAGTTCTTCTAAATATAAAGATTAATGTACCGAGGAGTTGATGTCTCGACATATTTTGAAATCATAATGAAGGTCAATTTTAAAAAGTCAATTAACGAAGTCGCAATACTTTTAGAAATTCCAAATTATACGAAATATTTAATTGAAAATGATTGCTTTTGGAAACATGTTAGACACATTATTTGACATATATTTATTAAAAAACCCTTTGATAAACCTCAAGATTTTTCTAAACTAATTGGGTAACGTTAAAATATGTGTTGACCTAATTTGATTTACAATTTGCACCGAAAGTATCACATCATTTTATACTTCATTTTTTAAAAAGAAAATATTGATATTTGAAAATGCATGCATACAATTACCAAACAATGATGTTTCACCACGGCAATAACCTATCAAAAATGTAGTGAGCAAACTGATACTGAATACTAAAATTTGATTTTGAAAACAGTCGACTTCAGTCGTTATTCGAAAATGTTACTTTTTTTTAGTAGGTATATAATAAACAGGTATTGAAGGTCTTTCTTAACAGGCCCATCATTGTGGGTCGCTGTATGTAATTTTTCAAAGAACTAAAACTCGAAAACCGGAAAAAATACGCTAAATTATACTAAAATGCAAGTGTAAACTCACCAGAAAATCAATTAGCAAGTCCTGAGGAAGTTAAATCAAATTAATAAAACGTGAAAAATTGATATCTTCAAATATCCCTAACTCTATACTGATGACAACATCGAGTTAAGGAGGATATTGAATTACGGGGGAAATTTGTATGGGAAAAGTGGTTGAAGTGATCTGAATTTGCAATGAGCTAGGGAAAATATCAAAGGAAAAAAATTAAGTGCTCTGCAAAAGCTAGCTAGGATTGGCACCCAGGGAACCATGGCGGGATACCTCAACAAAGAAATAAAGGAAGTCGACAAGAATCTGACATAGCACGAAAACGGTTCATCTAATCGAAATGACGTCTGAGACAAAGTTGTAGGAAACTGGATTGACTTTTCGACTTTTCAGACAAACAATCACAAATTTCCGTCAAAATAAAAAAAAAATGGTTTAAAGCTTCAGTAAGCAAAAAAGTGCATTTTTAAGATTATGTTTAGTAGAAAGCTCATCAAGCTAACTTTTCTGAACTGGACACTCAACTGGATAGTTGATTTCCTACGATGTTGGTCGATTTTGAAGTGTCCAAATTGACCAAAATCGTAGGAAATCAACTGTCAGTACACATTTTGAACCTTTTTTTTTATACAAATAGTTTTTATTGTGTTTAATGCATAAAACATATTTTATAGTCCAAAAAAATGGTTGGATCACATATATCAAGCTGAGCATTGCATTAGGTTCTAAGTAACATTGATCGATTCTCTTCGTCGACTTTCTCTTTCGCTAATAACATGAGCACATAGCCGTTTCTTGTTATTTGTGAAGGAGATCGAAGCAATTTGGTGAAATTATAATAAACCTAGTATGCTAAAACAACGATGCGTAACTCTTTCGTCTACCGAAGCGGAGTACGTGGCGCTTTCCGAAGCCAGCCGCGAGCTGACGTGGCTGATGACGCTACTGAAGGACGTCGGAGAACCAATTCTGGCTCCTGTAGTTGTACACGAAGACAACCAAAGCTGTATTGCGATGCTGAAATCTGCCGGCGGTAGCAACCGAACAAAGCACATCGACACTCGCTATAACTTTGTGAAGGAGTTGGTCAACAATAGTGTGATGGACGTTCGCTATTGCCCCAGTGAACAAATGGTTGCCGATGGAGGAGTAATCGAAACAACTCACCAAGCTTGAGGAGGAGTGAAGGAGATCGAAGCAACTCGGTGAAATTATAATAAACCTAGTATGCTAAAAATGTAAGTACTGCATCAATAAAGTATAGTTTAGTCTCATGTTTCAACCCAACCGGTCGTATTAACTCCCTCCTCTAAGAGTTTGTCATATTAGATGCTAGATAAAAGCTTCTTTTATCGATCTGTGTGCTGAAAATACCTGGGAATGTGATAACATGGCCGTGGGGATACAAAGGGAAAGTCGACGAAGAGAATCCGTCAATGTTACTTAGGACCTAATGCAATGTTCAGCTTGATATGCAAAAAAAATTGTGTCCTATGATTTTGGTCAATTTATATCGTATACGCCATTTTGGAAACTTAGGCGTGAGTCAAAATGATCGAATTCCAGCACAAAGTTAGCTCACTGCCCTAGCAAATAATTATACAAAGAGGTAAACTCTCAAATTTGTTTATTGTTGTTCGCTATTGGTGTGATCTTTTTAATATCTCTATGTTAAGATAGAATAACAAAATAGTAAATTGGACTTAACGTTAGTTTTCTATGTTAAAAAAAAATTAACGATGCCATCAATATAAAAAAAAATCTCGTAAGGTGATATTAACGTCTAAATGATTTCATAATTCTGAGAAAAAAAATTGTTATAGCGAAGTGAGCCGAAGTAACCCTGTCGATAAATCGAGTAAATCGCTGACCAGACTGAGCAGTTATAACACGTTATAACGATTTTCAAATATTTTCAACACAGAAACCACCATCAAGATAGCGCTATAACATGTTATAACTATGTAGTCTGAACGTACTATAAGGTAAAGTTGTCTCGAAAGGTTTTTAATATTTGAAAGAATGTTTAACGGAGTTCGATATTTTTCATTCTTAAAAATATACACAGGATGGTAGAGAACTACTTCGGCCTAACCGACCATTTTGGGTCTGTTGAACAGAAAACCAGTGGCGTCTCACTTTTTACCAGTTACCAGTTTATAACTTTGAAAACGATTTTTGTGGTCATTATTACATTCAAATCAATTTCAAAAGGTACAGGGTCTTCTAGTTTCGCTGATGTGTAGTAAAGCAATTTTTTGTTTACGTTATGAGAGTTGTTGAACAGGTAGGGCGACGCCACTGCAGAACATTAACGGTATGTATGAAATAAACTTGGAAGGCATCTGTAGTGGAAACATTCTATGTTGTGTAAAAATTCACTTGAAAAAGAGAGGAAAAGCCCGGGTTCTGCTTAGTAGGGCCCTAACATTTGATCTAAGCCCTAAAAGGGTGAAAGAATTTTTAAAAATCTCTGAGATTTCCAAGTTTATCCAGGAAAATAATAATCTCTGAGTAGATATTTCCGGATTTCCAGATTTGTTGAAAAAGTAAACACCTTGCTGAACAAGCTCTCGAGCTCTTTTTACGAATACAGCTCAAAAAGATATAGGTAACTATTTCGAATGTGTTTCTGAAAGTATGGAAGATCAAGATTTATCGAAGTTTTTGACAAAATTGCATAGAAAAATCTTGAGAATTCTATGCAGAATTTATTACTTTTAGGGATTAAAAGTTAAATTCACAAGTATTTACAATGAAAGACATATGAACCTCACCAAAATGACGGATTGAAAAGGACCATCGCATGTCACCTTCGAGTTTTATGTCTCTAACCTAATTTCGTTTTTTTATGGCTAGGTACATAAAGCGGATTAAAAGTTAAAAACCGTCGAGAAGGTACAAACTAAAACGCTTTGAACTTCTTTTCTTCTAATCCGTTCTTTTCTGTAAAAAAGTAAACTTGTTGAAAATGGGACGATCTCATCGTCATTTAGAGCAATCGTCCTAATAAATAATCCATTGAAAGAATTCAGTCTCAAATTAACTTACATTCTCATGAGTGGCCATGTGGCGACTTAGGCTTTTCACGCTGTTGAACGCTTGAGTGCAAAGGACACACGTGGCCGTGGTAACCGTCGGAGCTGTTTGGAAGTTTTCCTTTCGTTTCTTCGGCGGAACAGCAATTTCGGCGCGCTTGGCTTTGTGCTTCTTAGCTGCTACTGGAACAACCACTTTTTTCTCCACCTTGGACTTAGTAAATGTCTTAGGGATGACTTTAAGTTTTGCAATGGGTTTAGCAATAGGTTTAGCAATGTGTTTAACAATGGGTTTAGCAACACGTTTAACAACGGGTTTAGCTGTAGCTTTCACAGAACCCTTTGGTCTACCCCTTGGCCTGGGAGATTGGGGGAAAGATTTCATTGCAGCTTTTGTTTGAGTTACAGTGGTCTTTTTAAATTTGCTGATCAGTGACGCCGGAACTGGTGATAAACGAACTACCAATTCCTTTGTAAATTGCGGATGAGTTTTAACAGCTTTATGGCCACGCCGCGACGGTGTATACAGCTGGCTGAGAGGAATCTCTCCAAAACTGTTTATGGTGGGCTTGCCACGTTTGGCTGGAGTTGGCATTAAGCTGGGACTCAGATTTAGCTTTTCCACCTGCACTACGGGATTGGAGCGCATCACCGGCTGTGGTACTTTTTTTGTTGGGCTGAGAATTGCATGCAGATTATGCAGGATTTCGTTATTTTTCCAGCAAAGCAAGCGAAATTCGTAGCACTGGTCCAATTGTTTCTTACACTGTCCACATAATGAGGTCGGAATTCCATTATCTGCGTTCTCTTTTATCTGAAATGGAAGATAAGATAACATTGTAAATGTTGCAGTAAAACTCAAGTTGAAATGCAAATTTGGCCAACAAATGTCTTTATGGTTCGGACCTCTAGAAAATAAAATAATTTATTCCAACATGAATTTTTCAAACGATGCCGCACCGTCGCTAGTTCGCTATTCTGGACCTCAGTTTTTTTGACGTAGGACTACGTCTTTGATTTCTATATGGGGGTACACTTTGTGAAAACCAAAAATGGAACATGTAACAAATTAAGAAAGATTTTCAACGTTAATAACTCAGCTGCCCCTGGTCCAATTTCAATAATTTTATCACCAATCAATCAGAATCAGAAACTATTGAAAAACTGGTAAATGTCCAGCATTGTCCAAAAGCGTCGAATTAACTAACAAATCCACCAATTACCTACATGCATATGCTGCTTCCCCAGCACAGTCGTCAGAGAGTAGTAAGTAGACGAAACAAGTCGAAGTGGCATTCGCCTCCGATCCTCGGGCGCGTGCGAATAGGGAGGATGGAATTGCGTAATATTTTGCACACTCATCGCCATACTCAGAACCACACGCTCCCAACGACCACACCACTCTGTGGTGGTGTTCGGTCGTCGAAATTAGTAGCAGCAGTAGCAGTGCTTTCGGCGTGTGGCGTTGAAAATTGTTCTCCAAGCAGCGAGCTGCAGAGCCCACATAAGCAACCATCAAATGTGGAAGAAGCTACACCGCTATGCTATGGATCGGAATCAGTAGCTCTTCGTGAGTCGCTACGGGTCGGTCATCTATGCCATGCGTGTCACCCTCGCTCCAAACGACATACAGCTCGACAGCCTCATCCGTGTTGAACACCCAGCTCAGCGTTACTCAACCATCACTACAAAACGGTCCTTTTCAGTTCCCGCAAGCAGCTATCTGTCAAGGCTCAACCTGTCTATTGAAGGTGTGGAATTGTAGGCCTGAATGTATTGGTGAGATTAATCACCGTTCGACCATTTTCCAGAACACGCTGGTAGGAAGTGTTAAAAATCCATATAGAAGTGGGAATAATTCGCTTTAGGTGTATATTCAGTCCCCAGAAAGCCAATAAAATCAAATTTGTGAGAAAATTAGCTCTAACGAGTTCAATCTCTCGAGGTCCCTCCTTTTTTACATATTCGGCACAAACGATACTTTCCGCCCCGCCCCATTCATATAATTCGGAAGGAAATCCTGTGAGGGGTTAATTGAATACTTTTTAATACCAAAATGCACAAAACTTAAAAATTCATAGATAACAAAAAATTCAAAATACACCTTTTAAAGTCGGGTAGATGAATCGAAAATACTCAAGTTGACAGTCCCTTGGATTCTCTTCATCAACTTTCTCTTTGAAATAAATACTACAAATTTGATACGCTTACAAATAAAAAACGGAAAGAGTTATGATGATTGATCAATAAAAGAACTAAATGTTCACATTTGTTCCGTCCACTAGCGGTTCTACGTCAAGCTTCCGTTCGTGCCCCTAGGCACAGACCCTTCTACTTTTTTATCGTACAATCGCACGTATTGAACGTTGCCCCTACAGGCGACATGCGTACCTCCACTGCTTTTTCATCAGCATAATGCAAAGCTTATTTTTCGGACTTATGCTGCAATGCATAATGCATTGATTCTTCCAACTTGAACTTGGTGAAAACCACTTTCTCCTCCGCAATCCGGTACGTTGCTTCTATCTCAACGAGATTCCCATTTAGTGCCTTCACAAAATAGGCAATGGTGGCCTTAGCACTTCGTTTGGGATCAAATCCACTTCTATCGTTTTGATTTTTGTTTGTCTTCTAACGGCGATCAGTGTAATAATATAATAATTCAAGACCAACAAGTGAAATGGCCTTAACTCCATTTTGTAAACAAACCTTATAAGGCCATTTTCTCGCGAACCGAAACCTTCGTTCGCAAACCTAAACCACCATCGGGTAGATGAGACTTTCCTCTACCTGTTCATTATGTTGGTTTGCCTTTGCGGACTTCGGTTCGCGAGAAAATGACCTCACAAGGTTTGTTTACAAAAGGGAGATAAGGTCATTTCAATTGTTGGTCTTGAATTGTTAAAACGCACTCGGTCGCTTTGTCGTTGCGGTTGTAATAAAAAAAAACCTGAATTAAACCACCTATGGTGAGATCTGACCTGATTTTCTTACTGATTTAAATTGAATTTCTGAATGATACGTTGGTCTGTGTCTACCTATTTCATGTGATACATTTTGGATTATGGCAAATTTTGCTCACTTGGAGTGATCACAAATACAGGGCTGATAGCACCAAATATATCCAAAAATAGTGATTTTAGTGACTAAAATGAGTAAAAAAGGGACCATTAAGTGACTAAAATGAGTAAAAAAGTGACCATTAAGTGACTTTTAAGGCACAAAAAGTGACCAAAAAAGGAGACCCAAGTAGAACTTATTGAGCTCTAATTTAAAAATGTATAAGAAGATTTTAAGCATTTTGTCAATATTAGTAGTATTTGTTCTTGTATGATCGGTATCTGTTGTAAACAGACATGAGTGATTGATTTTTACACTAGCCTGCTGCTGGCTACACTTTCATTTTGTTCAATTTTCAAGATATATCCTTTTTTCAGTAAACCTGTTCCAATTCATAATTGTTGCCCAAAATGTGTGTTACATTTTAAATATTATGCTATGAAAATTCATTATAATTATCGTTAATAAAAACAATCGCTATTGTATGGTTTTTTGCGTGTTTTATAATACAACAACATATATAATCCGTCTTCATCTGCAGGAAAACACATCTAAATTTCAGCTGTTCGATGGAACACAACGTACCAAGAAGACTGGCAATTCTACTAGCTTTCATGCGCATCCATATAGTATTTCATTTGAACAAATACCCTCAAGCTTTGAGCGTTGAATGGCGAGACTGTGACCCTCGGTTGGTATTGTATACAAGCACATCAGTCCCATATAAGTTTTTGTCAGCTTTGAGTTCGCAATACTATTCGTTATCTAATGGCATCTCCTAATGCATTACGCCTCTTATTAAATTTGACCGCTTCGTTTAGTGCACTATTGGTATTATTGTAATTGGTCAGAAAAACTGGAGCGATTATCCGGTAAAATCCATTTCCTTTCACAACTCTTCAGTATCTATTTTATGAAAAATATTGATTAAATCAAACGGAAAATTACCAATTACGGAAGCACAGCAAAATCTAACATATAGTCAGATGTTCCAAATTAAAACCCTAAAGCTTTCAGCATCCCATAGTGAACCACTTGTTTTAATTAACATTTTTTGCAAAAAAAAATGTTAAATGAATGTCTATTTCTGAGTTGAATTTAATGTGATTCAACCTTATCTTGTGCTTCTGTGCCGAGATTAGATTCTTTGATTAGTATGAATTTCTCCTTGTTTTCCAGTAAAAGTTTGTTATCATCCATCATCAGAACGTAAACAATCCTTCAGCGAACACTGAGTGGTCCACAAAAACGTAATGATGACTTCAACTTTGAATGCAGATGCATGGAACCAATATATTTGACTAGTTAAAGTATCAGGTTAACGTTCACTTTATTAATAAACAGTTTAAAATCAACAATGAATAGTACATGAATCTAGTGACAGCTAATAGAGGATCCAAAATAGGGAAATTAGTACTACTTCTTTCCGAAGTAGTTAGTTATAACAGTTGCTTTCTTCTTGTTGACTATTTCCTCCATGCTGTCGTTTTTGCGATGCTTGCTTTTTGCGCACTGACTCGACACCATCAAGCATGGCTTGAGCTAGATCTATTTCAGCCATATCCTTGGTTTTGTATAATTTTCTAAAAATTGAAGTTTGGACACACAATTAAACACACAAAAATCATCGATTCACAAATCGCCTCGTTATTCAACAATGCTCCATGGAATCATTGATTTTATACATGAAAAAGGTTGAACATAGCCACTTCACCTTAAAAACACATAAAAACTATTAATATGGACTCAAACTATTGAAACGAAAACAGGTCTTTTCGTGCAACTCACTTTTTTTACATATTTCTGATTCTTCTCTTAACTCAAGTAGGTGTCGCTACCGTACAACAACATCCCCATATTCTAAAGATATTTTATTTTGGTGCAACAATTAGTTTTTCTCAAAAAAACAAAACAGTTTAGTTATACTTAACCAATTATATTACTATATAAACTCACTTATATTTTTCTCACTGAGAAGATGAATAATCCTTCATTATATGAAATTAATTTATTAAAATTATTTAATAGCTTTATAAATGTTCTTATTTCTTAGACTTCAGTAATTCACTTCAACGAAACATGCAGTACACGACAATTTTAGAGGGAAGCCCTCAGAACTTTATTGAAGTACTCATCACTTCAAGAAGTTCCATAGATATTAATGAAGTTCAGAGAAGATCATTGGGAGAACTTCAAAATTATTTAAGAACCTTGCGTCAGTTTATTTCAACAATATATAGTTTAAAAAAAATCTCAAAAGTTAATAGCAATTTGAAGGGTTTATTGAGAATCCTCCAGCATGTTATCTTAACTCAAAGCCTTAAGAGAAGATCATAAGTTTTCAGAAAGTTTTAAAGAACTTCAGGTAAATTTTGAAAATTTTAAAGATTTTCCTCAAATTTCAGAGAAGTCCTGAAAACTAATGAATTTTACAGAATTTTAAAGAAGCTTAAAAGTTTCATAGAAGATCCTAGAATATCAGAGAAAATTTAAGAATTTCAGACAACTTTATATATTGAGAGAATTTCTCCCAGCTTCTAAAAAAATTAAACAACTTTTAGAATCTGCCAGCAATTCGAAGAAGTCTAAACTGTTTTTTTAATCCTTTGGAATTTTTTATAATTTCAATAATGTTCAAAGCATATAAAAAAGTTCCCTGAATCTCAAAGAATTCCAAAGAATAAAATATTTCAAGACCAAACTAACTAAAGAGAGGGTTATAGTTTTTCATTAAATATCGCAGAACATCAAGGA